TCTGTCCAGTTCAACCGTGCCTCCGTCTACCTGATGATGGTCCTTTCCTGGAATGGTTGTTTTGGGGCAAAACCTGCCAGAAACCACCTGTTCTTCAGCAGCCCCTGCTCCGAGAGGCGCAGGAGCCTCCCTGTGAGGTGTTTGGGTGCAATATTTTGAGGGGGGGGGGCCACGCAGGACCAGGTCTGCACCCACACCATGGCCCAGGTTGGGGGGGAAAAAAGGGGTTTTTGACCCACCATCCTCAGAAATATGGATTTCTACCATACGCTGAGGTTTAGATCCTTTGGGAAAAGCCATGTCCCGTTCCACCAGTGGTGGGGGTCCCTCCGTGGGGTGTGGGGGCTCCCCTGCTTGCCCCCCACCTCCCTCCCTGTGCCTGTTACACTTCCCAGGCACAATCACGCTCCGGTTGCTTCTCCAACAATCGGAGATCGCCGATGGTTTGGGGGTTTTTTTTGTTGTTTTTTTTTTTTTCTCTGGGCGAGAAGAGAGGAGGGGGGAAAAAAAAAAAAGAAGAAAAAAAAAAAAAATCAGCTAATTATGTGGCGAACAAAAAGGCTATTCTTGTCTGAAATAATACGCCCGTCTTGCAAAGGCACTTGTTTGTGGGCAAATTTTGAAGAGGGGCTGACAATAAAAACAGCTGCAGGAGCTGGGTGTTGGTACACATTTCCATGCCCTGCCAGATTACCGTGCCTAATTATCTCCCCTTTCCGCAATCTAAAGCAGTTTCCTGAAAAGAGATGATTCTTTCCCCCCTCCCCTCCAACCTCACCCACCAAACCCCCCCCCATATCTCACTTTTCTATTTAAATCAAAGCTTTACTTCTCCGCAAGGATTTCCAGCTCTCTCTGGTTGGTTTGGGAAGGAGCTGGGGGGGGGATGATGCTGGTTAATTTTGGGGAGAGGGAGGTTTTTAGATGGGCTCCATCCATCATGGTGGGAAGGAGAAGGTGGGGAGGGAAGGTGGGGGGGTCACAATCTCTGACCGTGCCTGTTGGGCGATAGGGATGGGGGGAAAAAAAAATTAAAAAATAATTAAAAAATTCAAAATTGGAGAGAAAGAACCAGGCGTGTGGCTACGAAGCATCCACAGGGGAGAGAGAGAGAGCAAAAAAAACCTCTGTGCTGAGAAAAAAATAAAAAATCCCAAGAGCCTGCACATATGGTGGCCTCTGCCAGGCAGAGCCCAGGACATATGGAAATGAGCTGTGTAAGTAAACTTTTCCCAGTCCCTTGAAGTCAGAGAGAAGCCCCCCCCCCTCCCCAAAAAATCGGGTTCACACATACAGACCCCCTCCTCATCCTCCACAGCGACTGCTTCGACGGCAAACCCTGTCCAATTTGCGACATGGCAGGGAAAAAAAAATATAAAATTGTTTCTTCAGCAGAAAAATAGCACTGGTTTGTTTATTTTGGGGGGGGAACTCCCGAAATTCATGCCCTGGGTGACCTGATGGGGCTGGGTACCCCAAAAACTGCACCGAGGAGCCGGGGATGGGGAGCCCGAGGAAGGACTGACCGGTAAAACTGAGCCAAGGCCCAAAAGGAATAATTCCCCCCCCCAAAAAAAAAATCCCTTCTGCCAAGAAAAGAACGGTTTCAGATGTTGGCTGGAAAAGTGGAAGGATAAACTGACCCAGATATCCGGGCACAGGGTGGGGGGCAGCCCCCAGCCCCCCCAAATTGGAGAAGCCACCAAGCTTCGGTGGCAGGAATTCGCAGCGAATTGATTTTTTTTTGGGGGGAGGGCACTGAAAATGCCACTTGCTGAGGGTTGGGTGACCTCCCCAGGGGACAAACTCCAATGGGTGTATTTTTTTGGGGTGGGGAGGGGGGTAAAAGCCCCCCACTGTCTTGAGGAGGGGGTCAGTTGGGATGCACGACCATGCTGATGCTGGAGGGACCACCCTCACCCCTTGCCGTGCTCCCTGGGGTTTTTTGGGGGGGTGGAGGGCAGCTGGCCAAGAGGGGAAGGATTCGGGGGGAGGATGCTGACATTTGGCTGCTGGCATTTGGGTGCCCCACGGGTGCAGCTGGCGGTGGAGCAGGCGCTGTGCAGCGAGCCCCTGGACCCGCAGGGGGGTCACCTTCCTCTTGGGGTGCATGGTCCCCCCCCAAACCTGACATCTGCCATCCTCCCCCGGAAAATATGAGCATCAATTAGATAAAAATGACTGGCAGGTCATTAAGAGCTTCCC